CGGGAGGCTGAGGCAGGAGGATCGCTTAGCCCAGGAGTTTGAGGTTGCTGTGAGCTAGGCTGACGCCACAGCACTCTAGCCCAAGCAACAGAGTGAGACTCTGTCTCAAAAAAAAAAAAAGCAAAAGCAAAGACAGTTCTTTCAAGCAGCAATAAGATCTGGAAATAGTGCCACTGAAGCAACTTACAAACTAGCTTACGTACTTGGGGAAAACAGGAAAGCCATTCAGTGATGTAGAAATTGTGAAAAAATGCATTGTTGAAGTTGTAGGATGCTTAGATCTCAGTAACATTTCAAAGTACAAACAACTGCCTCTTTCAAGGAGAATCATAACTGACCAGCAGCATGAATTAGCCTTCAACTTAACAGAACAACTTCATGCAATACTTTAAAAGGAAAATATATATATTATTCAATCATTTTGGATGAATCAACTGATACTACTGACTTGGCACAGGTTTTGTATTTCATTCGGGTCGAACAGAGGATTTCTTTTTTGCTACGAGTTACTCACTTTGGGCACTTTTATGAAGAGAACACAGGGAATAGATATCTTCAACAACTTTCAAGATAAACGTCATGAAATTGGACTGAATTCAGTAAATTTAGTGAGTATATGTAAAGGCGGTGCACCTTCCATGACAGGAAAACATGAAGGATTTATTACACAGATTAAAAAAAGTATTAAAAGATCCAGATGCTCCCATTTCTTTTCATTGTATCTAGCATTAGCAAAATCTCTGTGCTAAAGCTACTATTTTAAGTGACGCTTTGCAGTAAGTTGTAAGTATTTTTAATTATATTCATGAAAATGCAATACAGCATCATAACACGCTCAAGTTGAACAATGAGGTATTCAGTGTGAATTTACCTTATCATTCTAAAGTAAGTGGGCTATAGCTGGGATAGGTGTTAGCCAAAATTTTATCTCAGTGAGAATACATAGTTAAATTTTATGAAGAATAGAATCAGCAATGTGAACTACTGAAAGATGTCTATAGGAATGCAGCATTTCTGTGTGATATCATGTCAGATCAAAATAACTTGAATATTTCTTTGCAAGGTAAAACTAAGTCTATATATGATTTGTGGCAAAAAATCCAAGCATTTCCAAAAAAGCTATCTTTTTTCAAAACATGTCTTATTCAAAAGGAAATTTCAGATGAACATTCCCCAGTTAGCAAAGGTCTTTAATAAGCAGGATATACATGAATCATTCAAGAATACACAGCTGTTACAGACCTATTAATTAGAGAATAATCATGACATCACACTCAAATTAGCATTTCAGCCTCACCTAGTTGGTCCACCAAGGCACCTAACGAACTACAGATGGAATTGAGCTCGCAGTAGATGACTTTTTAAAGTCACTGTCTGATGCTAAGAAAGATTCAACTGAAATATGGAAAAACGTAGTAGAATACCCACGGCTTTGGCAACCGGCCCAAAAATTCTTACTTGCTTTTCAACCACTCATTGCTGTGAATCTTCATTCTCCTACTTAACCCAAATCAAGATGTCCTTAAGGTCACAAATAACTGATAGTCATCTAGAAGATAATTAAAAATGCAGACCTCCATGCTGCAATCAAATATTCAAATGCACTCCAACAAAAAGCAGACATAACAAAGTCATTAAAAGGTTAGCTAACTTCAAAATTAACAAATAATTTTCATTTTTTGAAATTATTAAGTACATAGTAGTTAGATTTTTACAAAATAATGTACATTTTTAAGTATATCTAATTGAAGTTTCTTGAATGCGGCCTTATTTGATTAATTACAGCTAAATTAATGCGGCCTTCCAACATGAAAAGTTTCCCTACCCCTGACCCAGCCAGAGTTTTCTTTCTGTCATTCTCAAGCAGTAAACAGTGTTTCTTGACCTTTTTGTCCATTATCACTCCTCCACCCCAGGACGCTTTTTAGATTTTTCCCCCACCTTTTCACCTCTACCATTAATTTTAATTCACCTAGAAATACTGTATACATATCCGTGCTTCATACACAAGAATTTTTTTTTTGCCCTCTTTTTCATGAATGCATGAATTAAATGCACCAAAAATAACACTTGTGTTCACCATTGCTAAGTGCTAGGAACTGTGTAAGTACTTTATATATATCATCTCCTCTAATCCTTATGATACAAGATTAATCCCCATTTTACAGCCGAGGAGACTGTATGGAGTCACATAATTTAGCCAAATTTCAGTTAATAAGCTACACACCTAAAACTCAAAAAGGGCATACAGGAAACACTCATTCTATGGTATAGAATGTTCGTTGCCCAATTAAAAAAAAAAGAAAAAGCACCGAAACTCCATGTCCTCAAAATCTGAGCTTCCAGGCTTCCTTAGACTCTGCTGTCTTAAAATTTCAGCTCCTACCTTTAATGAATTATGTAAGAGATGTGTTGCTGATTACACACTAACAGGCTACAATTTATCTATGTTTTTGTAAGGAAAGTATTAGTTGCAAAAACAACTATACTGGATTTATTCAGTCTTCATTGTTGATGTAGTTTTTTAAAATCTGAAACACACTTTACTGTATGATAAGAGATCCAACAGAGGCAAGTTAATTTTGTAAAAAGAAAACAAAAACATATGATAAACAAGGCAAAAACAGTGGCACGGCACAGACTTACCATTATAAAGAGACCACCATTTTGTTCAACTTCAGCAGTTTCCATCAGAAGTTCGATTGCCTTTTTGTTCCCAATAATCCTCACTACTCGGGCTATCAGATCTTTCTTTGGTTCCTGTAACCTGATTAGGAACAAATAAAGTAAAATTAATCTCTTTATTTGTTGTACAAAGTTGAAGAAATCTATCTTAGTCTTCATTTAGTCCCCAACTAGAATCAAAATTTGATTCTAATACCATTTGCTTTTCTAAATCTTTGATATTTAACCTTAGAATCACTGACAAGTAAACATTCCTAACCTGGGTCACACAAGGAGATGGTAACCTCAAGGTTCCATCTCAAATCTCATACTTTGGTTCTTTATCTGTCTTACTGTATTATGGCAGATTTCAAAATAAATGTGCACATTCAGCAAGGTGAATGCAAGCCTAAATGCAAACGAAGATAAAACCAGTCTACTGTCAAAACAAATAACAGACATATACTATACTTTAAATTATTATGCCTAAAAGTTAGTTCTCCTAACTCCAGAGATGTCTGGGAGCTTTAAAATGGACCGAACCTTTCCCTCATAGACTCTTTGCCTCAGAAAAATAGAAATAGCTAATATTTACTGATGGCTTATTATGGTTACGGTTAGCACAAGCCTAAGAACCAAATATGCATTATGTCAATTAATTCTCTCAACATTATGAGATAGGTACTGTCATTTTCACTTTACTACTGAGAGATTAAAAACACAGGTAGCATAAGTAACTCTTTTAACGTCAGAGCCCACACTCCTGAGAGGTGAAGGAGAATTAATAGTGCAGGGACTTACCAATTCCCTAATCAGACCTGGCATCCCTGTTTCTTCTCAAGAGGCAGCAGTGCATTATTGCGGATGGGGTACTGGACTAGGAACAAAGGGACTAGGGTTTAGCTTCAGGTCTGATATTAAGTCAACATGTGACCTTGGGCAAGCCATATATAACTACTGAGCTTTGGTTTCCTTATCTGTAAAATGAAGGTTTTTATTTATAAAATCTCTAAGTTCCTCCCCAGCACTCAAATTCTAAACTTCCCCAGTATTCAAAAAATCTAGTACCGGTGTTGAGATAGGCTTGCCTGGAAAGTAAATATTTGTTTTCCTACTCTATTACTTTTTTTTTTTTTTGAGACAGAGTCTCACTCTGTTGCCCAGGCTACAGTGCCATGGTGTCAGCCTAGCTCACAGCAACCTCAAACTCCTGGCTCAAGCGATCCCACTGTCTCAGCCTCCTGAGCAGCTAGGACTATAGGCATGCGCCGCCATGCCCGGCTAATTTTTTCTATATATTTTAAGTTGTCCAGCCAATTTGTTTCTATTTTTTTAGTAGAGACATGGGTCTCACTCTTGCTCAGGCTGGTCTCGAACTCCTGAGCACAAACAATCCGCCTGCCTCGGCCTCCCAGAGTGCTATGATTACAGGCGTAAGCCACCACTCCCAGCCATACCCTATTACTCTTGAACCATATTTGTTTTCAAATTCATGACACTGTTGATTAGTGACTTAGAGCTAATGAAAATGTTCATTAAAATCTGAACGTGTTAAAAATAAATGAATTATACGGCTGGGCCCAGTGGCTCATGCCTGTAATCCCAGCACTTTGGGAGGCCAAAGCAAGGGGATCACTTGAGGCTAGGGGTTCAAAACCAGCCTGGGCAACATAGCCAGACCCCATCTCTAAAAAAAAAAAAAAAAAAATTAGCCAAGCACAGTGGCACATGCCTGTAGTCCTAGCTACGTGGGAGCCTGACACACGAAGATCACTTAAGCCTAGGAGTTCGAGACTGAGCTGTAACTGTGCCACTGGACTCCAGCCTGGGCAACAGAGCAAAACTCTGCCCCAAAAAACAAACAAATAACACACAACACAAAAAAAACCATGAACTGTAAATTGACCACACACACAAAGCAATTCTACTCCTAGGTCATTTACCAAAAGAACATGTATGTTTAAAGGTCTGGATGTGAAGGCTCGTAACCGTATTCAAAATAACCAAAAAGTGGAATATCCATTCAGTATGGACATATACATATATACACACACACAATAAAAAGGAATTAAGTATTGATTCCTGCTACAACATGGATCCATCTCAAAAACATTACACTAAGTGAGAGAAGCTAGAAACAAGTTCACATACTCTATAATGTCATTTATATGAAATGTCCAGAGAAGGCAAATTTATACACACAGAAAGTAGATTAGCAGTTGTCTGGGATGAGAACAGGGATTAACTATAAATTGGCATATGGAGATAAAGGACCTCACTAGGTGACGGAAATGTTTTAAAAGTGATAGTTGTAAAACTTGATAAATTTACTAAAAAATCCACACTAGAAATGGGGTGAATATTATCATCTATAAAATATACCTCAAAGTTATGTTAAAAAAGTCAGGAATGCTTGAAAACACTGAAAAAAATACATGATTTTAAAAGATGTTTTGGCTGGGCACAGTGGTTCACACCTGTAATCCCAACACATTGGGAGCAAGGCAGGAGGAAATGGCTTGAGGTCAGGAGTTGGAGACCAGCCTGGGCAACATAGAGAGAATCCCCAACCCCCACACAAAAAATTAAAAATTAGCTGGACATTGTGGCACTTCCAGCTACTCAGGAGGCTGAGGAAGGAGGATCACCTGAACCCTGGAGTTTGAGGTTGCAGTGAGCTGTGATCACGCCACCACATTCCAGTTTGGGCAAAAGAGCAAGATCCTGGCTCCAAAAATAAATAAATAAAAAGATATGTCTATCTTAAGAGCTCCATGTACTAAATGCAAAGAGTTGCTTAAAAGTTCATAAAAATCTTCAAAATTATCCTCTCAGGCCAGTCCAAATTTAAGAAATTTGGTTATTCATATAACCAAATAAGCCCCGAGTTAGTTCCGTAAGTTTAAAAAAAAAAATCTCAAAAAGGAACATCATCATTAATGTATTTGCAGTCTACTTTATTTCCTGTAAATAGGTGTTATTTGGTCAAGCGCTCATTTGTGGTCAAATTTAAATGCTCACCTGAAAGAAATTTCATCAGCTACTTTCTCTTGAGAATCTTCCTCTGTGATCTCATAGCGGCCTGTATAGTTCATTTCCACTCTGGACCCTAGTCTGTCTTTGACAGGTCGTTTCCTTTTGAGATGACCTTGCCCATTTTCCTCTTCCTTTGATCCTATTTTTTTGTCACCATGCATATATACACCTAGTTCCTTGTCTAATTCTTTCGTATGCTCTTGAGATTCCCTCTTAAGTTTCTTAGCGAGCAAATAATTGTAGGTCTCGGATTCTCTGCTTCTGTCGATAGTGCCCTCCATCCCCAAGATACCAAGTTCAGTGGCCACTGCATCTTGATTCTGTTCCTGAAGCACAGCACCCCATATGTTGTTAACCTTCTTTCCACCAGCAACAGGAGGTTTCTCACTGCTCTGGTCAAACTGAAAAGGCTCTGGTTTAGGAGGAGGGTTGAAACATTTCTGTCGCTTGCGTTTCCAAAGAGAGCTATCATCATCTGACTCAGAAAAACTCTCTTCACTTGAATCCACACTTTTAACAGTCCGATAATGGGACACTGGTGCACACGCTGTTGCGGTACTCTGAAAGGTCCTCACAGCACTATCCCCACTTAGCACTTTCTGTAAGTGAAAAGAAATACGATCAATTCCACGAAGCACATTAACTACACCTATCATGTGCTATTTTAAAAAAATTATTTAGAGATGCAACTGGACCATTCTGAAACAGAAGTGATCTTCAAAGACATGTCTGAAACCAATCCAGTCCTCACTTTTTTGAAGTTCCACATGGAATTTGTCAATTTTAAAGCCACACATTCTTATCTCTACTGCTAATACAACACTTAGTTCTAAGATCTCCTTCTAAAAAATTACCAAAGCTCTTAATTCTCACCTTCGAAAGATTTTAATCTTTTCAGTTATTGCCAAAATGAGAATGACATACCTAATAATTATTACTACCAGTTAAAACTGAATTTGTGGCTGGGTGCAGTGGCTCACACCTGTAATCCTAGCACTCTGGGAGGCTGAGGCAGGTGGATCCTTAGAGCTCAGGAGTTCAAGACCAGCCTGAGCAAGAGCGAGACCCCGTCTCTATTAAAAATAGAAAGAAAGTAGCTGGACAACTAAAAATATACATAGAAAATAGCCGGGCATGGTGGCGCGTGCCTGTAGTCCCAGCTACTCAGGAGGCTGAGGCAGGAGGATCACTTGAGCCCAGGAGTTTGAGGTTGCTGTGAGCTAGGCTGACGCCACGGCACTCTAGCCCGGGCAACGGAGTGAGACTGTCTCAAAAAAAAAAAAAAAAACTGAATTTGTTTTCTTTCTTTCCAAAGATACCTATCTAGCATGTGGACACATACACTTCTTTTCTATGGTTCTGTAGCCATATTCCTTTTAAATTAGATAGCAAACTCCTTTAGGTAGATATCTCTGAAATAATACTTTGAAAACTGCAGAGTTCATGGCATTAAGTTTATCAAGTCATGGGTCAATTTACGTAAAACCACCTGAAAGAGACTGAAAAACAAACTATCTTGGTACTAATTTCCTAAGATATTTATATGCAAAAGGTGTCACCATTGCTTTTTGTACTGAACAGTAAGCCAAGTATTTGCTGAGTTTCTATTATGTGCTAGAAACGGGGGTGAGGGGCGATTTAAGTCAATAAGATAGCCTTTCTATCTTCTAATAATAATCACAGCTAACACATGTCAGACATTATCGTGCGCGGTATGCGCCACAGAATCCTTACAACAACCCCATCGGTGGCATATGGTGCCAATTCTATAGATGGGGACAAAAAAAGCAGTAAGGCTAAACAAACCTGCACAGTGGCCGCACCGGGACTCGAATGCAGGCAGCCTGGCACCAAAGCCCTCTCAAAGACATCGCTACTTAGTAAGGCAGTCAAGACAAATTCCCACTTAGAAAGCTGAGAAGCTAATACAAAACCTAGTGTCTCGGTACCGCATGACAAAGACAGACTCGGTGGAAATACAGAAGACCGGTCTCTGAACGGGTTATGAACTTCGTTCCTGGGCCTCGGTTTCCCTATCTGCTTAGGGCGAAAATAAGCACCGCCGGCTGCTTCCGGCCGATGCCCCCATGTTCTACACTTTTAGCAAAATCCGCCCTTTCTTGAAAACCTAGCGGCGCTGGAGTGGGAAACCCGTGACTTCAGGAAACGAAGAGCGGCGCAAGGTAGGCGGAGGCGAGCCGGCCAAGAGACCGCCGAACGCCCGCCTCCAGGAGGCGGCAGGGCTCGCAGATCCGGCCTCGCAGTGAGCTGCAGTGCAGAGATTCGCGAGCCCCCAGGGTACCGCTGCCGTCAGCTCGCCTCCACGAGCCCGGCCAGGGGACTCCAGCCCACTCCTGACTGCCGCCGCGGGGTCCCTCAGCCCGTTGTCCTCGCTCCGGGCCGGAGGACGCCTGCCCACCCCGCACCCTCACGGCCACCCAGCGCCGCACCCCCCCGCAGCCGGGGCTCCGCACGCCCAGCCCACGATCACCCACCTGCCCTTCACACTCACCGGCACCTGCAGCGGCCTGTCGCTGGGCGCGACCGTCATGTCGGAATCCGAGTCGGAAAGCTGTCCATCTTCCATGTCTCCGGCTTCCAGCGCCATCTTCGCGCGGCACGGCGTGGAGGGGAGAGGCGAGAGAGCACTTCCGGCGCGGCAGGAAGGCCCGCCCCCCCGGAGGCTCCTCGAGTGCCCCCGCGCGGTCACAACTGAGCGAGAACGCGTCAGCTTTGCAAATATTCGAGCTACCCCAGGAAAATGGATTCCCGGTAACTTCAACACTTTTCTTCCAAAGTTTGTTTTCGTGCAAACTAAGTATGTGCACGGACCGCGGTCGTCTGGGTTTCCTCCCTTGGCCTCACACCTGTCACCTGGATGCTCTGAACGACCTCCCTGCTTCCATTCTTGCTCCTCCACAATCCACTCTACGTGCGGCTTCCAGGGCAGCCTTTCAGGCAGTACAATCGACCCTCCGTATGCATGGACACGGAACCCGCGAATATGGAGGGCGACTTACTATGCCATTATATATAAGGGATTTGAGCATCCAAGGAGTCCGACAGTAAACTGTACCTGAGGTCACTGCCCCACTGAAATCTTCCAGAGGCTTCCTTCCTGCCAAGTGAGGCCTGAGTGCTCAGCGTGGCAAACAAGGCCCTGTGATCTGGCCATTGGCTCTGGTCCGTGCCCCTGGATAGCTGCTGGTGCGTTGTCATTCCTCAGGCACCCTTTGTTCTTTCCAGGCGAAAGGCGTTTGCAGTTGCTGTTCACTCTGCCTGGAAGGTGGCTTCCCCACCCCCACCCGAGTCTGTGCACAGCTTCTCACGTGATTCAGGTTTCTGACTAAATGCCACCTCAGAGAGGCTTTATCGGGCTTGGTTCCATCACCCTAACTAAAACAGGATCCCCTACCGTCACTTTGGAACCCTTTATGTTTTTCTTCATGGCATTGATGGTTTTACGTGTATTTGTTTTATTTTTTATTTGAGTTCCGCACTAAAATGTCTGTTTTATTCACTGTTTTTTCCCCCAGTGTTCAGCCTAGTGACTTCTTGCACATGATAGGTGACCCAGAAATATTTATGGAAATTTTTTTTTACATAAAT